TTTTACTTTATAAAAAAAAATCTGGCAGTTTTTCAATGATACTTGTTATAGTTCAACTCTTGAATTTTTTCTTTGAAGGGGATGTTTTTGGGTAGAGTCATATATACACAAAAACAAGAAATACATTATACATATATAGTCTGAAGAAGATTGACTCAAGTACCATGCGTCTAGAGATGAACCTGATTGACAAGCCTAACGTAGAATCAATATCTTTTTTAACCGACTGTCCTTCCATCATGTTGGATTTGGGAGCTTCCTCTTGAAACTTAGAAACGAAAGTTGATAGGGAGAGAAAAATAATCCATCTTTCCGCAAAAACAAAAAGTTTTAATTTACACATGGGTATTCGAACTTTGCGAGTCGAGTAACTTCTATGAATACGCGCAAACCGCCCTTTTGGCATATGGTACATGTAGGTATGAACATGATTTATAAGTCAATGTAAAATCAATATCCTTTTGAACCTAGTTTTCTTAGCCTATTGGCTTTGAGAGATTCCTCTTAAAACTTATTGGTAACGAGAGAAAAAGAATTCATCCTTTTAAATAAATGAAAGTTTTTTTTTATAACATGTATTTGAACCTTGCCACTCAACTAATCCGCACAAACCACCCGTCCACGTGTATCATGTCGGGCTCCCCCATAGGGTGCCAAGCGTGGCCCCTAAAGTTAATATGAGTGATTGATGTTGTGATCTGAATGTAGGATTTGCAAGCCAAATTGAGTTATTAACCACTTAGCCAACCATTAAGGGTTGAATAAATCAAAGGTTTTCTAGCAATCATTCTCGTTATAACAGTTGCGGAAGCAAGCAGTTAAACAATAAAATAGATAGAACAAGGAAATAAATCAAACATCATATTTACGTGATTCGGCTAATGTGACCAACATTCACGAGAAGAGCAGTAGTGAATTCCACTATAAATCAAGCAATGAAAGGATATTACAATTACACTCGAGTCACTTAAACACTATCAGTATTTCCCAGCTCCCAATTACATCCAATAACTCACACAGTAATTGGCCATATAATTCCTCACAAAATAATCTCTCAATCTCACAAAATCTTAACACAAGATTTTTATGGCTTCAAACCTTCGAAATGTAATTCTCAAGCATAAACTCCTCTTTGATACTCTTCATAAGAAGTCACACTCCTTATATATAGACAAGAGTTAGATCCAAAATGGAAAACCTTTTTTTAGGAAACTTACTTCAACAAAGAAACTTATTCAGATTAGGAAAGTTTTATTTTGGGGGCTCAAACTCGAGACATATTTTCAATAATCTCCACATTGGCTTGACATTTGAGCCACGTCACAATCGTTTTATTGAAATCCATGTGGGCTCAATCGCCACATATATCTTCCAAGTGGGCTCAATAATAACAATCTCCACCTTTGCCGCTACTCTCCCACGGTCCCATGTAGGCTCAACCGCTACAGATATCTTTCAAGCACAAGCCTCGCTTAGACTTTGCCATAACTATGGATCTCATTAAAATACCAACTCCACATACATCTTTAACTCCTCTACGAGGATTTTCCAATACAACCTCCTCAACCACAGATAAAGTTAAACCATTATTACATCCATATCTAATAAGAGATCGAACACATACCTTGTCAAACTCAATAGTTACAGCAACCATTGGCTATAGGCTTCACCTCGCTACAAGCACCATCTGTATCGATTACCATGCTAGCATCCACTACCTTAGGAGTTTCTGGTTGCAACTCCACCTCGAGCTAAATACCATCCATATCCGTATAAGCACTGCTAATAACACTCCAACTCAGAAGTATTGGAGATTCGTCAAATGTAACTTCTCTGCTGACAACAGGTGAATTTAATTTCGGGCACCACAACCGATAACCCTGCTCACCTTGTGCCTTAGGGGTGAGTGATTCTAGGTTCCATTCAAGTTCCACCTAGAACCTGGAACTTAGCCATAGGAACATGTTCCTTATTTTTTGGAACCTGAAACCTACCCTACATATCTTGAAACCTAGAACCTACCCTATCACAGGTTTCAGGGTCGGTTTCTGAGTCTACCCAGGTTCCACCTGTATTATTAATTGAATAATTGTAGTGAATCATCGTCTTTAATGACAACACTTGCTGCCATGATCTACTAAGCACAACTTATATTTTGACACACGAAGAATATGAATTAAAATAAAAGCTTAGACTAGTGGTTCTAGATTATACACTTATCATCTAATGCCGTGGAACACAGCAGGATCACGCGAAGATATAGACCAAGAAAAAACACAAAAAACTTATTTAAGGTTTCATGTTTCAGGTTTTAGGTTTCAAGTTTCACCTATCTGGAACCTGGAACCTACTTGTCAAAGCAAGTTCTACAATTTTTGGAACTTTGAACTTACCCTGCATACCTTGGAACCTGGAACCATGCTCACCCCTACTTTGCCTAGGAACATGAACTTTCATGCCCTCCCATCGAGCTTACCATCACTCATTCGAACTAACAAGGGCAACTACATATTCTAATAACAGAACAATCGGCAACATTACCTGAAAACACTTCTTCGGAAGTCCAACATCAAATTGCAGTTGATGGGGATCTATTAACTAGGTAGCTCGTCGTACTAAGCGCATCTGCCAGAAATCTCCTTGCCATACCAGCACTATAGAGCATTTTATGAGTCATATCTAGTAATGTTTTGCTCATCAACTCTGCAACATATTGTAATTAACTAGCACTAGTGTGGTGTCTCATTGTGCCCGAATTCATTTAACAGTTCTGAGCATAACTCCATGCTACTATCAGTCCATACATGCTTGATTATTTTACCAGTCTCCTTTTCAATCAAAGCTTTCCATTGCCTAGTCCTGACAATAGCATCTAACTTGTACCTCAGCAGAAACACCCAAGCCTTCTTCGAGTAGTCATCCACAACTGTTAGCATAAATCTAGCACTCTTTCTCGAAGGAAACCACAATAATCTGCGAACTTCCAAATGAAATAATTTTACAGTCTCCGTGGTTTCTTTGACAACCACACTGAACTGCACCTTGCATCGTTGATTTAAGTCACAACACCTGTATACATTCAGTTCGTTAGTAACATAACCACACATCAAATTCCTTATACTTAGAATTTTCAAGCTTCTCTTGCTAATGTGCCCCAAACGCATATACCACAATTTAGACTCTTGAATAGATGCATCCGACATCTCCGAGGTGAAATCTTTCGTCTCACCTTTAAGTTTATACAAGCCAGTGTGCTTGATTCCTTTCATTATTACTATGGCACCTCTAACAACCTTCATAACTCCACTTTCTAAAGTATACTAACACCTAGCTAAATTCCAAGCACTCAAGGAAATCGAGTTCTTCTTCAACTCTAGAACATGCCTCAGTCAAGTCAATTTCATCACGATACCATCATGCATTCTGATTCTAACATCATCAACACCCACAACATTACACTCAGAGTTGTTTTCCAACTGCAGTTTACTATTATCCATGCATTGATAAGTAGTAAACAAATTCCTATCTGGTGTAACGTGAAACGAACAACCATAATCCATAATCTATCCGTCAAACGACGAATCAGCAGTGACAGACAAAACATAATCATCACCATCCGAATTACTATCAACTGTTGCAGCAATATCATGAACAGACTCAACTCTAATTCCCTTACCCTTCTCATTTTTTAGCTTAAGGCATTTCCTTCTAAAATGCTCCATCCTGCCACAACTCCAACAGATAGCACCACTAGTCCCAGCCTGACTTTGTCTATTCAAGCTTATACTACTCCTGCTAACATGTTTACTAGTTATTCCTATACTTTCATCTACTAAAGCAGTAAACATAAGTTCATCAAATTCTCTTCTACAGATGTCCTCACTAAGAATCAAATCATGAACCCCATCAAACATCAAGCTTGTTGACCTAGAAGAATTATTAACAGTGGCAACTGTAGTATTTTAACTATCGGGCAACGAGACACATACTTCATCTTTAAAGTCAATCTTAATTGAACTCAATTGAATAATAATCACATTGAATTCATTGATATGATCAGCAACTGACACACCTTTACCCATCTTTAAGTTAAACAAACATCGCATCCAGTAGATCTTGTTGATCGCAAAGGGCTTCTCGCACATATCCTACGGGGCTTTCATTAAACCCGTAGTGGTGTTCTCTTTCAAGATATTAAACGAAACGTTACGAGCCAATGTCAACCAAATAACACCCAACGCTTATCTACTCAGCAATTCGCATTCAGCTTACTTCATCGACTCTGGCTTCTCCCCAAACAGGGTTAAATGCAGTTTCCTTTGGTATAAAGAATTCTCATTCTGCATCTTCCATAAACTAAATTACTTCCCATCAAATCTATCAATTTTCACTTTTCCTTCTTCTGTCGACATTGATTCGCTTCAACTCTGTCAAGCCTAGCTCTGATACCAATTGTTGCGAAAGGAATGGACCGAACAATAAAATAAACAGAAAAAGAAAATAAATCAAACACCAAATTTACATGGTTCGATCGATGTGACTGACGTCCATAGAGAGAGCAGCAACGAATTCCTTGATAGATCAAATGATATAAAGGATATTACAACCACACTTGAGTCACTCAAATACTATCAGTGCTTCCCAAGCCCCCAATTACACCTAATAATTCGATAGTATTTAGCTCTATAATCACTCGCAAAATAATGGCTCAATCTCACAGAGGAATTCACAAAATCTGACCACAAGATTTTTATGGCTTCAAATACTCAGGATATAATTCACAAGCAAAAGCTCCTCTTTCATACTCTTCACAATAAATCACATTTCTTATATTTAGACAAGAGTTAGATCCAAATTAGGAAACCTACTCCAACTAAGAAACTTATTCAAATTAAGAAAGTTTCCTTTTTAAGCTCAAACTCGAGACATATTTTCAATAATAATAATAAATTCAAGAAAAACAAGAATAACATACCATACCAGTTACAACATAAGCAAGCTTACCAGTACCCACAAACATACGCGAGTCGTGACAACAATACATTAATCAATGCTGTTTTTTCTTTTTTTTCTTATGAACATAAGAAACTAATAGCCAAAGCCTCACCTATTGACTTCGATTTTTGGGTCGAAAAGCAACACCCTTGACGACTAGCCCCTCTTTCCAAATAGGACTGGTTTCGGTTATACAAAATTTGATTTCTCCGATATTTTGGGACGACGTCATGAATTCCCCCATCACAATGTTTATCCACTCTCCGCGGGGCTTATCGTGCAAATTCCCCATGCATTCCCGCTTCGATGCATCCGGTAAAGTAATGTCGATCTTCAGAGGAACGCTCCAACCCCGACTTGACTCGGTCATTTTTGCCACCAACGAAACTTCATACAAGGTCTTCAGAGAGAGCATGATCGTTCGGAACTTCCCACTGATTTCCAGCCAGCACACACTTCTCAGTGAAGCTACCTCAACATCCACATTACTGGTAAAATTGAAGTTCAATGTCAGGAGTTGGAGTTTCACAGAAGAAGAATCGCTAATGTGTTCATTCCCCCATCAAATTAGACGATGAAATGAAAGAAAAGACAAATAGCTACACGAGTTGCTTCAATAGATTTTCCTAGTGCAGATCATATTTGCATATGAAGTGCATGCCGGAATGAAGGGACAATTATGTTGCAAGTGGAATAAAATAGCAAGGAATGAGATCCACACACGAAATGAAATATTAAATGGGATCTGAAATACGCAGAATGGCTCTAATACTACATTAGAATGTTCGAGCTAGAAACTTGAACCAATGGGTAGAACGAGACTGTGAATAGCTCATTATAACCCCGCTTAAAGCGATTCAAGAAATTTACTTTAACAATCAATTTGTCTCAGCTTAGTTCATTTTCACCCAAGTGAAATAAGTTTTGTGGTCGACACTTCGCTGGTCATTATTCCCATTAAAGTCTCCTTTGCTAAGATGCACGTATTAAGATGTTAGCAATGCAGAATCTCTAATGGCATAATTGATGTGATAAGAATGATTATCGTATTTACTAGGTTCATAGATTCAATTGTTTGAACTTTCAAATGAAAGTGAGTTTAACTAGGAATGTTGGTAAGTCTAGACTTGGACCTCGAATCTATTGTCTCTACAATGAGGTATATTGGTCTTGGGACGCTTCCTAAAAACCTTTATGACTAAAAGGGCTGTCTCCCTGCATCCAGTGCAGTACAAAACTTATCTTTACAATGAACAACAAATAGACAAACTAAAACACTAATTACTAACGGCATAAAGTGAGGGACTGTGCGTTTATAAACTGATCTCCTTATCATTCAACAATGTTAGAAACAATTACATGCTCGAAAGGCAAGTTGGAAGGGAATAAGAGAATTAGACCTCATGAAGAGGTACTTGACAGTTGAAATTGTTCATATGACTTGCATCTCAGTCACCCATCTCAACTTTGCATTTCTTTTTTAACGATGTGTAGAGTCACTTAATTACTCTAAACTGTAAGTCTCTTGGCTCCTTGATCATCTCAAAATGGTGGATGGATTCTGTTCCTATGGGTACCTCGATCCGTCATGCTTAGAATGTCATCTTTAACTATTCAGCAATAAGGAAACATATGTCCAGATCCTACGTACAGTGTCTTGGCGCTCTCTAAAAGTATAGAAGAATGGTGTCCCTCTCAAAACACTCCATCACCGGTTAAAAGGCGAAAATGATAATAGCTTTTATATGATAAACAATCTGTCATAAATAGTCAACTTCACACGCCTGAGAATTTTCTTTTACAAGTGCATTGACCAATTACCAGAACTGAAACATCCATACTTCTCAATTAGAGTTTGTGCACTTCATGTTTTGCACAGGTTGTGTACAGATGAACATAAATTATTCAAATGAAGCAGCGAGGAGCTAAAAACAAACTAGTAGTCATTGCAGCCCATGACCTGAACGCGCACAAGAGGTGAATTCGCTTTATCTCGTCCAAGATAAAGATAATTTGATCAAACGAGGAAATAAAAAGTTTTTTTTTTCTTTTTTAGCAGATTTTTTCCGAGAGAAATGATGATCTCATTTTCTTTGTTCTTTTCTTCTTTTTTAGAATATTGACTCTTACCCGGACTCTTTGACGGTCGTCCATCCCCAGTACTTGTCGGAGTCGCCCCATGCAATTGCAAGCTCCCTCGCAAACACCATGAAGCAATTCTTGTTCAGATGCCTGTCGACCCAGTACTTCTGCAAGGATGAAATTTCATATTCATTTCTACAATTACAGCATATATCAAAGTCCATATAAAAATCTCCTTTTTTTTTATAATTCAGAATGAAGGTAAGAAAATCGTTCGAGAGAGAGAGAGAGAGAGAGAGAGAGAGAGAGAGAGAGAGAGGCTCACTCTCTTCCCCTGTTGCAGAACCACTCCGTCGTAGAGCTGATCGCAGAGCATGTAGAGAGGGAAAGTTTGAATGGGCACGTCGGAATCTTTCACGATGGCCACGTAATTGTGTGGAGGTCTTCTTGATCTTGCCTTCACTGTTTGCTTAGGCGTCTGTGAGCCCATCTCTTCGGCTTCTTCATGGATCTCAGCTTCAGCTTCCATTTCAGGAGGTGGCCAATGTTGCTCCTGTTAAGGGCGTGTAGAGAGAGAGAGAGAGAGAGAGAGAGAGAGAGGAGCTACACAGGTTTCTTTATCCCAAACAATATCGATGGAGCCACTATTAATAGTCGTAAAAGTAAAGGTTCGAAAGTGAAGCCATTTTTTGACCAAAAAAAAAGAAAAATATAAGTGAAGCCATTTCTCTGTGTTTTTTAACAGAAAATTTTCTTTGGGTTACCCTCTTGATCAAAACTTAAAATATTCATAAACTAAGTTCACATAATGGTCTGTGCGTATGTAAAGTCATGCATGCATTGAAGAGAAGCCAAAATGTATGCCTTCAATTCCAGAAGGTTGTTCACAGAATTCTTTTTTCGGAATAAACAAATCTTCATCCATTTATGTATATAACCCATTTCTTTCATTTGCCAAAATAAATAACAGATGTTTATGGTGAAAAGGGCCTTATGGGAGCCCAATGTCGATCCATGTGGCCCATGTTACATGGTTCTACAATTTCCTTTTTCTTTTTCAGCTTTTCCTTTTCCTGGAAAAAAACGAGCTTTGCGGAGAGATTGATCGCGCAGAGGGAGAGAGAGGGAGGAAGAAGGAGAAGCGGGGGAAGATGATATACCGCAAGTGGAGTCTGCTCACTGGTCCCGCCGCCATACTCGGCGGCGTCGCGGCCACTGTGGTCGTTGCCAATCACATCTTCGTCGAGCACGCAAATCCAAATCTCTCTCCCCTTTCGATTTCTTATCGGTTTCTGCTTGTTTCGTCAGCTTCCCTTCTGCTTTCGGACTTGCCTTCGTTACAAATTTCCGGTTTTTCTCTTGCTTGATAGATTTTCGGCGGATTGCATGTGCAGGTTGCGTCTAATTCGGGTGTGCGCCTTTCTTTCGTTGTTCCTTTGATTGGATGGTGTTAGAAATCTGGCCTTTCTAGAGCGTCCGAATGATCCGTCGGATTGTCGTGGACAGTGATATGGAGCTCGATTGCATATTAGGGACTGGTTTAGCTGTGGGCCGAGTAGCGGCATTGATGCTGCAACAGATCAGCGTCATCGGCCGTTATTTGGCCTGAATCTTCACCAATTTCCTCACTTCTAGCTGCAGGCAATAACAATGTATCCCTCTTGTTGCATCGGCTAATCGGGCTCGCCATTTTAACCCTAATTAAGATGTAGCGTTGCCTTGTATAAGCCAGATGTTCATCATGCTGTAGTCAAGTATATTTTCCATCACCAATGGTATGATAAATATGAGGTCGAGTAAGATGACCAACTTTTCGAATCTTTATCTCCTTGCATAAGATGAATCCACTGGAGCATACGGAACCCGAATGCTTCTATCATCCAGAATTTTTCTCCCAGCATGTATCTATTGGCGGCATCATCTGTTTGTGAGAGATTCCGGACTGTATAAAATAGATCTTTGAGGCCTGGGATGTTTAGAAATTACTTTAAGACTCGAGGGTAAGCAGTTGACCATGGGGCTCATTCCTAGCTCCCGCTTGAATAAGTTTTCCATTACAGTCGAATTAGTTATCTTTCTTGTCACCTCCCATAAATTTACCATGTTGCAAGTACCTGGCTTTCAAAACCTTAGCCCTGACTTTGTTTGCATCGACCAACATCCTCCAACTGAGTTTACGTAGCAAACATGGCCATGGTTTTAGAGGTAGGAGCTGGGTTTTCTCCTGAGTCATGAGGAATGTTCCACAGAAACTTTCTAACCACAGCATCTATTATACATCATACAGAAACTGGACGATGAAAAGTTGACATGTTGTAAATCGGTATTGCTTGAGCCACATATCTGATTAAGGTTCATCTAACTGCCCAGAGGTAGTGAAAACTGAAACCATACATGTGCTATCTTGTTTGTCTAAAGCTAGATTAGTCTGAGCTTGTGAAATGATATTGCACGCTTTGCATTTTCTCTCCACTTAAAGATGTTGTCTTTAATAAAAAAAAATTCTGACTTGACGTGCAGTAATGTAACATCACCACGTCTATGTGGATACTTTACGGTCTGAACTACACTGTATCTTTCTGCATCTGTAGGATCCATTCCGCAAACAAGAGCAGAGCAGACTGATGCACAACCATTGGCCAAGTGATTATGGGGAGGTGAACTTCACTCATTTCATTTTCTTCTACTGGGTTCCAAGTTTGGTTCTGGGGAAATGTGTATGACTTGGGAATCTCTTACCAGATTCTGCGGGACAATCTTTGATCTGGTTTGTCAATGTTCTTGAACCTTGTGTTGGAATAAAAGGCTAAAATTAAATTTCATTGGAGTACATGCGGCTTGGGTTCCGAGGGTAGAAGTATCAGTTAATAAACAGAGGCCCCGTTCGTCCAAAAAAATAATAATGACGGAGGCTCCGAGGCTGCAGGAGGAGAGTAGATAGGGGTGAGCGGTTCCATGTTCCTTACAGGTTCCACCTGGAATCTGGAATTTACCCTCGAGTACAGGTTCCGCATTTTTTGGAACCTGGAACTTACCCGTCAGAACATGGAACCTGGAACCTGGAACCTACCCTGTTACAGGTTCCAGAGTCGGTTCCAGGTTCTAACAGGTTCTTTTTTTTTTTTTCAGTTGTAGTTAATCAAAACGAAAGATCACCATTTCCACATAATCACGTCCCAAACCCACCCACAAGAAAATGCTCAACAAGAGAAGCATATACAACACGGGCAAAATCACATATCCTATATTCCCACTTCGTTGTAAAGATCAAGGAGGAAGCAACCTCAAACACTTAAAGATGACAAATTGAAATCAAATTTTGTGTAAAATTGGATAAAACTATTCCGCTAACCATGATCTTTCTCTAGGAAGTGTGTTCTTCATAAGTTGCAAACTATAAGAATTTCTGGGCAAGTGGGTGATCATCAAATCACAGAGACTATGGTGGCTCACCTTAATTTTGACTCCATCTTTTTAATGGCTTCCTCTATAGAAGGGAGACTGCTGCTCAAAGCTAACCACTGGTCTTTTGTTAAGCTAATTCCTAGAATGCATCGGAACAGGCATTAACATTTGCATAAACACGCTTGATAGCAAAAAAGGGAAAACTACAGATCCAGCTAAAACATGGACAAAAATGCTTATAAAATTCAGAAAAACATACAGGACTACAAAAATCTAGTGTGACAAAAGAAAAGTAAGCTAGCAATGTACAACATTAACATTTATGACTAGGCAGTATAACAAATAAGTAAAAACAGTTTTTGGACCTAAAGATAAGTTATAGTAATCTTCTCACATAGTTCACGGATGTGTCATCCTTCCATATAGGCTTGAGACGAAGGTAATGGACGCTGGATGAGCAGAGAGAGAGAAAGAGAGATCCATCCGTGCAACAGTGCTCTAATGCTTGGAGATATAGAGAAAAGGGTAAGTAAATGTATATCATACACTTCCTTACTTACTATGCTCATCTCACACTCATAACTTCCATGTATCTCTTCCCTCAATAATATGATCATATTTGACGTTTTGTTGTCTTCTACACATATAACAATTCTCCAGCCAATGCAAACCCATAGAAAGCTCCAAAGGAGTTGACTTGCTATGGGATTTCAATCTCAGCACATTACAGTAAATATTTATAGTTAGAGGTTCAGAGGCCACCACAACACATTTATACGACTTTACGCAAAGAGCAGCATTATGGAGTCAATACAAGAGAAAGAGAGACACGGTGTTGATAGAAACCCAAAGAATTATACTGAGACAAACATACTCTTTTAGCAAAAGCCACTGAAGCAGTTGGAATTGCAGATATTGACGACATAAACACAAGTGTCGGTTATATGCAGCATCAATCAATGATCAGATAAACCATTGTCATCAAACCTTAGGAAAGCTTACAGGCAGCAAAGAGTAAGAAAGACCACTCACAATTATTATACCTGAACCAGCTAGAATAAATAGACAAGAGCATCATTGTAGATTTAGATAGAGGAGAGAATGTTATACATGTGCAATCACCTTTAGCACTGGGAAAATTCTTTCCATCTTTGATATAGTAGTCCCTTATCGATACCATATTTGTGCCGTTATAATCTTGAAGAGTCACATACCTCCTATCTGAAAGCTACACCAACATAAAATGACGATTTAAAAGTTGTTGATGTGGCTTATGTAATCACAGAATGCAGAATAATCAGTCAGCCACAAGAGGAATATAATGAAAATGTCACTAGTCAGTACCAACTGTTTTAACGGCAACACAAGTAGAGCCTTTAGAGGTTCTAGAGCTAAGTCCCAATTGCCAATCAAGGAAAACCATGAAAAATCCAAGGAGAGACATTACCCACCAAGTGAGAATCTAAAATGTTAGATTTACAACTGCCTTTTGCACTTATCTACCACTGCCAAGTGAGAATCTACAATATTGGATTTAGTACTGTTGATTGCACTTTGTCTACTCTTCACCAATCTTATTCAGATGTTACTTGCAGCCGCAGGGCTTCTAGAGTAAGGATTCCTCTTTCATGCTCCCTAAGTTAGCCTCAGCAAACTAGACAGCTACAATTCAAATTTGCCTATAATCCCATTTTCTTCAGCTAACAAAGAGATTGCATCTGATAAAGCTTTTGCAGAACTATCATCTTCGCCTTTTTGACTGTCCGGTACAAGAGATGCTTGTGCGTGTGCAATCCGAACCTCAAAGAAATACATATTGGCACCTCTTCGCAAACCCAGACAGCCATGGCTTTCGATCACAATTTGCAGTCTCGCCATGAATTAGCAGACAAAAACTAAGTGACGACCAAGAAGTTCACTTTCTCTACAATGCAATAGGGTTTCACTTTCAACCTCACAAATGACGCGTCCTCCACTTTCGCCGAGCTCCATCTTCACTTCCCTCATCGGTGCTTCCGTGGCGACCTCGCCGGCCTCCCCTCAAACGTCAGGTTGGCCGCCCTTGGCCCCGTCCTCGCCTGCAGCGTCGGAGAGGAGGAACGACTCCAGGACGTTTCGCACCAACTTCTTGTTGTCCATGTCACTGGCAATCTCACGCGGGGCATTCCAGCGAGCGAGCGAGAAGGACGGCCGGAATTGCACCTCCAAGGAGAGACGGTGGGAGCCAGCTGGAACCCTAGCGGAGCGCGAGAATGACAGAAATGCTCGCGGGTGGAAGTGAACACGACCACTATTTACATAACATGGCAAACTACACGCGATAATACAACAAGGGTATTGTCTATTTGCCTATGTGAATCTTATCTTCATGGATGCTACAACGTGAATTCAGAGTGAGGAACGAAATCTCTCACGGTCTGTTATCACGTGGCCCCTGGTAATATCCTTTATGGTAGGACATCCAGATAGTGCCATCGTAAGCTCGAGCTCATCCTTCAGCATCTCAGTGACCCTTCTAACTCCAATTTTTCCTTTTGCCGCCAATCCATATACAACAGGCCTTCCTATATGTAGTAAGAAGACCACTATTAGGAGAATGTCAACATTTGTCCTAGGGCACTTGTTCATTTGTGAATCAAGCGTTTTGGTAACGTGAAAAGATAGTTTCTACTAACTTGGCACGATATGATTACCCAAATACCTCAAGGGTTTGTTACGATGGCCCTTACCAAGATAGCAGATAGTACACGTCGAAAAATATCATGAACGTGCCAAACTAATTAAAAGATTGTACCAGTACTGCTTGTGCCCCAAGGGCCAATACCTTGAAAACATCTGTTCCTTGCCGCACTCCTCCATCAACAAAAACAGGGACTTTCCCTTTGACTGCATGAACAACCTACAAACGAAAGTTAAAAAACAGTGATGACCAAAATGCTGTTTGATATAGATGACTTGTTGCAGCACAAGATTTCATACATTTGTAAAAATAGAGGGAAACAGAAAACCACTGTGCTTTATTTTGAAGGTATTTTGAAGGGGCAAAACCGGGTGTATTTACTCTTATCCAGTGTTTACAAATGCTCCAAAATCTAGAATCTATTATTAAGACTGCCGACCAAAGGAGTTCGTAAAAATAGGCACCTCTACCAGAACCGATATCGTGGCTGGAGTATAATCTAGCTGTCGAGCTCCATGATTGGAGACAATTATCCCAGCAGCACCTGCTTCCACTGCCTTGATTGCTGCCAATGAGGGAATACAAGCTTGTTGATAAGGTTGTCGAGTATGCAACAACCAATAGTAGAAACAACAGTTTGAGAATACTGAGAAGCAAAATAGTAAATTCCAATAGATGAATAAGATGCTTCAATCCAATATCAGAGAACACAGGGTCTTAATACCAGGAAGGACAAACTGAAGACAGGCAATAGCCCATTTACCAACAATTCCTAACTCATACGACTTCCCCAACAGAATTACTATGGTGTTTGAACGACCAAACCAATTGAGTCATAATATTGTTTCCTTTCAAGATGAACTGAAGAATCTTCGAAGTTTGATTCTAGAGGCTCACCCTCAACAAACTAGATATACAATCAAAACCCAAGTTTTCACATAATTCTCCTGCACTTGAACGAATTTTTACTGCTTTTCACACTATCCTGAACTTCAATGTCAATTAAATCGTACCTAACCGTTCGCCATGGTGTCAGTGTATTGTATAACACGGTGATGGACTGGCAATGACATGGTGCTCAGTATACAGTTGGGTTCCCACCTCATATACAATAAAACAACAGCACGCACACGAATCTGCACTATTAAATAACCCTAACGAATCCCATCAAATCTAGCACAAATGAGAATGCAAAAACAGATTTTGGCACAGTTGATGAGTTCTCAAGCCGTCATCCTTGACTTTTTTTTTTTTTCCTTGTAAATGCAATGATCCCTTTGCTCATGTATGCGTATGTGGTTAAAAGAATTTTCTATTAAGAGAATCAATGCCAAATTAGCTCAAAGACAGACAGTCTTGTCAGTTGCTAGTTATGATCACGCTACCTGAAAATTGGTTGACAGATTGATTTGAGACATATAATAAGTTCAAGGTAATATCTTCTCGACTTTTGGATAAGATTAAAAGGATCCTTATAGTACAAATTTTTCCAGGTCTTAAATGATCTTAAAAGTAAGACTTCTCGTTTAAGCTAGTGTTTTTAAAAACAAACCAGGAGGTTTTAGCCACAGTTTTTGGCCGATTTCGATCAGTTCAGACTGGTATGGGACAGCAATTTGGTTCAATCTCTGATCTGGTTTTGGAATGCTGGTTTAAGCAATGAATATGCTAAGTAAGCTATAGTTCAAAGTAGGACACAAAACGGTCTTCGGACGAATCCTCAACTGCTTTTCCTTGAGAATACAATCCTAGATCTTACCATCTTCGTGTGTAAGAACTCCCTTGATCAGAATCGGCGATTTTGTTATAGATCTCAACCATACAATGTCCTGCAGCATTGTAATTTAGTTACATGACCAACAAGATACCAAATAAAGCAAATAGAGGCATTATAAAGATCCAGTTATCATTTGTAGGTCACGGCCACAAGGGAAAATTGAATGAAAAAAGTCATCCCAAGATAGCTATTAAACCTATTTCTACGCTGGATGACACTGCCTCACACATCTCATTCATTCAGAAAACCCGATTCTTTTGATGAAACATCATCCCAGAATAAATTTCAAGGATTAATTACAAAGTAATTTAAGATGGTATGGAGGTTCACCTTCCAACTCAAAGAAGCATCAACAGTTGAATCAGCAAAAGCTTTTACGTTTGAACCCTCATCCTGCAAATTGCAGCGGAGGCAAAAAAAATAAAGGGGAGAGCGAGTGAGAGAGATGTTATGCCTAATTTCTTCATTTACAAAACTACAAAAATTTGAGATATCTCTCTAGAGGTTATTTAGGCAGTGAAAATGTCTTCATCGGTCAAGTATTAACCATACATTTCCGGTTGCCTAACGTTATCCGAACCCTTTGTTTCTTCGCCCCATGATACAAGGGTAAAAAATTATGTTCTCTGAGCAAATGAACTATAAAAAAACTCCTCCAGACACAGATATAATCAAACTGAACAGTTATAAAGAAAAGAGCGTCAATGAATACAATACTCTTTGCCCCAAGGGCAAGCTTTGCATAAGAGAAGCACAGAGCTCATGGAATAAATCTCCTCTAGGCTGAGCCTAATACCATATCCACAAACATCAACGCCATAGTGAGAATTTCTTTTTGTTTTGCGACCTTGCTAATTCCAAAAAGAGTTACAGACACCGAAAAAAGAGAGCAGCATATAGCAGGGCATGAAGATAATGATGAAAACAGCCTCGATGCCATCAAAGGAGATTGGTCGATGAGATATTAAGAACATAGATATCTCCCCATGCATGCATGGCCATTGAATAGGTAAAATTATATTGCTATTGTCAGATCCTCAAGTAGAAAAGAAATCATTCACTCACAGAGACAACTTGAGTTGAGAGTAGACCTTCAAAATTCTTCAACTGAGGCGCTATCATTCTGTCATAGAGAAAGAGAGAGAGAGAGTTTAACTGTACCCGAACTTTGTTCATGACCATGATATCCATGCCCCAGGGGAATGGGGAAGCGAGAGAGGTAGAGGAAAGCATTTTACTTGTTCTTTATGTCTACCTCCCTTCTGCCAAGTCTGGGAACATCAACAGTAAGAACAATAGCTTTGGATCCACTTCTTTCAGCTCTTTGTACTAGCCGAGTTGTAATATCCCGTCTCTTGTATACCTGCATAAGGAGATGCATTAATTATTGAGATTAAATCTTAATGGAGAATGTACAAAGCCAAGAAAACTGGAGATTCTTAATCAAATAGATGCTTATATATATTTGAAAGAATCGAATGGCATCATAGCTGGACGCGACCTCTTCTACAGTGCACATGGACATATATGAAAGAATCTAGAGTAAAGAGGTGAATTGAGTATGTCATAGCAGCAAATTGAGATTAAAAGTATTTGGTAATCTATTACCATGATGACATTACATGCAGCAGCTGCTCTTGCGGTGGCAACCTCTCCTAGAAGATGGAAAAATTGCATCGCTAAAATCAAAACAAGCAAACATGCGAAAGAGTTCCTCCAAAAAAATTCAGGTTTCACACCTTCAGGATGTGCTAACTTATGCCTAGCAGTTGGAGCAATCATAAAGGGCGCAGAAACGTGATAGCCCAATAGAATAGTCAACAAACTAATTTTGCTCCCATCAATGAGGATTCTCAGCCTAAACCTGTCAGAAATACATGTGTTGAGAATTACCGAACAACATAATATGGTTGCTGCGGATTTAAATCTGACCAGCATTCATTAGTCATTACGTTATTCTGCGAAAGGCTTCCGTGTTTTCTTGAAGTGTATACTGGTCTTCTGCTCCCCCGGCATAAAAATCATAATACATTTTTAGAAGGGCTTGCCTAGCCAATTCTTGATACTCATTCACATTGACAGGATCCTCGGCCATGTTTCCTGAATAAAAATTTAAGCATTTATTACCTCAGCTTAACAATTTCTCCTAAGGGTGCTGCTAAGCTAACGGTACGGTGCCTTTTTGACCACACACACGCAAATGAAGGTCTAAAACAATTTACCATAAACTATCCGCATAATTGCAAGTTAAATGTGCCCACACGAATTCACACTAAATCTAAATAGGAGAGTGAAAAGTATGGAATAGCGATCGTAATGCACCCACACCCCTCGACGTATGTATAGTCATAACTACAGAACACGAACACATCAAAACGCGTAGCCCAACGGCATTCGGAATCTCACGCTAGCCTAACTACTCACATGAACCTTCGTCACAAACTCCTGCATGACCGTCAATAATCTTTTCGCTAGTCATGACTGCAGAAGGATAAAAAAAAATGAATGCGATCTTTCTGCATCGCAGACGCTCAGCCATACGGATGCTCAAAAAAGTTCGGAGCAGGGGAGTTACTCTGCGCTGCGCACTCGAAACACAGAAGAGAGAGGATCCAAAGGGTACGATGTTTCGCAGGATAAGCAAATGGGAGCCTTGGGTTTTCACACGAACGGAGCAAAACCTCTCTGGTCTAATGACCGGAGTCACTCTAAAGAATGATAATGAAGCTACCGTTGGGGATGGGCGATTTACTGATTACCAGCGATCGCGTCCAATGAAAGGCTGCCCGCCTTTATTCTCTTTAGGTCAGTACCGCAAAAAACTTCAAACTGGAACACCTACCGTAAATTTATCTCAAACTAATTTTTTGACTATCAAAAACTCCAAACTGATACTCTTATGACAAATTTATCCCAAACTAATTTTTTGACCATAAAAAACCCCAAATTTGTACATTTGTAACAAATTTGCCCTCCGTTAAATTGGATTAATATCACGAAAAATCACAAATTGGTATGGTAAAACCCCAAACTGATACACCTGTCAATTGCCACGTGGCATCCGACTTATAAATTTGACGGTAAAATTTAATGGAAACTTACAGAGGGTAAAATTGTCATATGTATACTAATTTGAAATTTTGGTGGTCAAAATATCAGTTTGTGGTAAAATTATTATATGTGTACCAGTTTAATGTTTTTCATGATAATACGCTTCTCTTTTCCATTTCTTCCGTCTTTTCTGTTCTATAAGTTGATAGAGTCTGATACTCAATATAATCACTTTAACTGATAAAGTAAAAATGCAGAAGATGGCTGCGCTTTGCAAGCACCAAAAAGAAACCCATAAAGGAGAGACACACTGGTTGAAGATGCTTACTCCATTCGTCTATCTTATTGAAATTAACAACTTAGCCGTTTTATAGGCTGTACATCAACAGAAGAGATCCCAACAAAAATAGCAACTACTTTGATTCAAAATGGTGAACGTGTGCAACAACATGCTGCCAACTAAGTCCTGAAAACTAGGACCCACTAAGTAACAGAAACACACGACTAGCTATTAATTGAAAAACATAAAAAACAACTTTGACTCTTTCTAACATGCCCTCCCTTAAACTGATACTACAAGTGATCAGTTTAAATGTGTAGAAATAAACTCTCCTTTAATCTGAGGCATCCATCGAACAAACTCCAAGGAGCTTCCTTAATTTCTGAAATGTGGCCATTTTAAGAGGTTTTGTGAACAAATCAGCAACTTGATCTTCACTTCTGCAGAAAACAAGATCAATCACACCATCTTTTGTAAGATCCCTCAAGAAATGATACTTCACATCTATATGCTTGCTTCTCCCATGTAGAACTGGATTCTTTGACAATTTGATGGCTGAATTGTTGTCACAGAAAATTGTCGTTGCTTCTTCTAGTTTAAACCGAAGTTCTCCAAGAATCTTCCTTAACCAAATAGCTTGACAAGCGCTCGAGGTGGCAGCCACAAACTCAGCCTTAGTGGTCGAAAGAGTAACAATTGGTTGCTTCTTTGAACACCATGAGACAGCCCCTGAACCAAGCATAAACACATAACCAGAAGTGCTTTTTCGGTCATCCATATCACCAGCGTAATCACTATCAGTAAAACCAAGCAAATCTGATCTTTCTCCTTTGTTGTAAAATAACCCAAGAGATGATGTCCCTTTCAAATAGCGTAAAATACGCTTTGTAGCCTGAAGGTGTTTTTCGGTGGGACTCTCCATGTATCTACTGATGAGACTAACACCATACATGATGTCAGGCCTTGTTCTGCTGTTAAGTACATGAGACTTCCCACAATTTGCTTGTACATAGTGCTATTCACTTTCCTTCCACCAGGATCCTTGGTGAGCTTTAATCCAACCTCTATCGGTGTGGCAACTGAATTGCAATCCTTCAACTGAAACTTCTCTAAAATCTCCTGCACATATTTCTTTTGGCAAACAAATGTACCAGCTGCAGATTGATTAACTTCAATGCCTAAGAAATAGTGCATTAACCCAAGATCTGTCATCTCAAATTCATGCATCATGGATTGCTTAAATGTCTCCATCATGGCACCATCATTCCCTGTGTAGATGAGATCATCTACATACAAGCATACAAGAAGTAGTTTCCCACCATGATCAACCTTAATAAACAAAGTATGTTCATAAGGACACTTCGTAAAGCTTTCCTTCAAAAAATAAGCTTCAATCCTACTGTACCAAGCTCGAGGAGCTTGCTTTAATCCATATAAAGCCTTCTTTAATTTGTATACTTTATTCTCACAACCAGGCTTCACATATCCAGGAGGTTGGTCAATGAATACCTGTTCTTGGAGATCACCATGTAAAAAGGCAGACTTGACATCTAACTGATGGATAGACCACGATCTCTGAGCTGCTAGCGCAATCACCAATCGAATCGTGTCAAGTCTCGCAACTGGCGCGAACACCTCTTTGTAATCCACTCCGAATTCTTGCCTATAGCCTTTTGCCACCAAACGCGCCTTGTATTTGTCAATGCCACCATCCTTGTTCAGCTTTGTCTTGAAGACCCACTTGACACCAATAGTCTTGTGGCCTTTGGGAAGATTTGTTAAGTCCCAAGTATTGTTTTTCTCAATTGCTTTAATTTCAGCATCCATTGCATCTCTCCACTTTTGATGTTTTACTGCTTCATCAAAAGTAGTTGGATCACTATCTGCAAACAAAGCAAAGTGAGTTAACGGATCTTCACCTTGATCAACTCCAGACACCTCATAATCTCTCATCCATGCTGGCCTTTGTCGGTGACGTTGGGGGCGTTCATCATGTGTTGCAGCAATATCTGAATTGGGCTGCTGCTCCTCCGTTTCAATAGGGTCAGAACTGTTGCGAGCTGAGACCAAATTGTGTTGTTGGTCTTCCTCGCCAATCTCTTCAAAATCAGCTACAATTGGTGTAGCCCCTTCAGCTTGATCATTCCAAAGCCAGAAATTTTCTTCGTCAAATACTACATCACGGCTGATTATAATCTTCTTGGTCACAGGATCATAGAGTTTGTAAGCTTTTGTTTGATCACTTACACCAAGAAAGATGCATTTTACTCCTTTATCGTCAAGCTTTTTCCTTTTTTGATCTGGAACGCGGGCATATGTTATACACCCGAAAATTTTGAAGTAATCAACCGTCGGCCTTCGTCCATTCCAAGCTTCTTCAGGAGTCATATTCAGAACAGCAAGTGTGGGACTTCTGTTCAAGAGATGGACACTCCAATTTACAGCCTCTGGCCAAAACTTCTTCGGAATTCCACTACTTCGCAATAGACTTCGCACCATGTTGAGGATGGTTCGATTCTTCCTCTCACATACACCATTTTGTTGTGGTGTATAGGCTACAGTAAGTTGCCTACGAATTCCATGCTTCGTACAAAATCATCAAACTCAAGAGACTTGTACTCTCCTCCACGATCAGTTCGAAGAACTTTGATTGGATTGCCGCTTTCTTTTTCAACAAGACTCTTGAAATTCTTAAATGCTTCAAAAGCTTCAGATTTTTCATGCAAGAAATACACCCACACCTTTCGACTAAAATCATCAATGAATGTGATTAGATATCGTTTACCTCCATTAGAAACCGGTGAAATTGGACCGCAAAGATTTGAATGAACCAGCTCAAGCTGCTTTTTTGCCCTCCGCGCCTTGCCTTGTGGAAACTGAGCTCGATGTTGTTTACTGACAACACAGTCCTCGCAAACTTCTGATGGGATTTTGATAGCAGGGAGTCCCTCCACCATTTGCTTTTGGTATAGTGTCCGCAAACCACCAAAACTAAGATGCCCATATCTAAAATGCCATATCCATGCTTCCTCTTTTAATTTTGCCACGTAACAAGCATGATCAGAATCATGAAGGTAAAGAGGAAACATTCTATTTGATGTCATATCAACTTGAACAAGCAAGTTCTGCTGCTGATCATAAATCTTGCAAACTCCACCTCTAAATACAATTTCATACCCCTTCTCAAGTAATTGGCCAGCACTCATGAGGTTTGTTTTCAATTCAGGAATATAGAAAACATCATTAATGGTCTGCATTTTCCCTCTTGAAGAAATTTGAACAGTACCTTTTCCCATGACTGAAATGGCAGAATCATCTCCAAGCTTCACTTTTGTGCGGTGGGTTTCATCGATAGAAGAAAATGCCTCCTTGTTGCCACACATATGATTACTACAACCAGTGTCAAGGTACCATAAATTTGGTGAAGACATTTCTTTCTCTTGACATGCCATTAGGAGCTTCTCTCCTTCTTCTTCATTTGCTGCAGCAAAATTTGTTGCTTCCACATGTCGACTAAGATTGGTTCGACATTCGGACTTGTAGTGTCCATATTTGTGGCATCTAAAGCATTCAACTTTAGATTTATCTGTTGGTTTTGGCTTGAAACCACCTGAATACCAACCTCGACCTCCACTTCGTGCATCATTAGAAGAAGAGCCTACAATTCTTGGATTGATGGTGCTGTTGCGTTGGTGGAATCCTCTTCCTCTCCCTCTACCATTATTCATTCTTGTTGCTGAAGAATGACGGAAATTAGTAGAGGTCTTCAAGGCTTGTTCTTCCGTATCTTGGTGTTGGAGCTTCTGTTCATGAACCAATAAAGAACCTTGCAGTTCATCAATTGAAAGTTCTTCAATATCCTTAGCTTCTTCTATGGCGCAGACAACAAAATTGAATTTTGGCGTCAAGGATCGAAGAATTTTTTCAACAATGATGACATCCTCCGTCTTGTCACCGTGGATTCGCATCTTATTAACGATTGCCATCGTTCTTGAGAAATAATCTGTGACCAATTCCCCTGATTTCATTCGTAGCGTTTCGAACTCCGTACGAAGAGCTTGCAGTTGTTGTCTCTTTGCTCTTGCAGAGCCTTGATACTTCTTTTTCATAGAATCCCATATTTGCTTGGAAGTATCCTTGCAAAGTATTGTCTCCAAGACAGATCTGTCAATGGCCTGAAAGAGATAGTTCTTGGCTTTAAGATCTTTCAACCTAATTGCTTCTAGAGCCGTCATTGTCTTTGCTTTGTCAACGTGGCTCCTTCTTCCGGTTCAGGAATTCCAGAAGAAACAACTTCCCAAAATTCTTTGGACCTTAGAAAATTTTCCATCAACATGCTCCAATGGTCATAATGACCATCAAAGCGAGGGATTGCCGGTTGGACAAAATTGGAATCTGTGGCCATGATTGCTGCTGCAAACAAAGTGTCAAGAAAAAAAACTTTGCGGCAAGACTCTCTTTCCTCACGTGTTTAACTCTCAACACTCAACCCTCACTTTCTTTTTTTGCTAACCTGCTCTGATACCACTGATACAGTAAAAATGCAGAAGATGGCTGTGCTTTGCAAGCACCAAAAAGAAACCCAGAAAGGAGAGACTGTGTGGTTGAAGATGCTTACTGCATTCGTCTATCTTATTGAAATTAACAACTTAGCCGTTTTATAGGCTGTACATCAACAGAAGAGATCCCAACAAAAATAGCAACTACTTTGATTCAAAATGGTGAACGTGTGCAGCAACATGCTGCCAACTAAGTCCTGAAAACTAGGACCCACTAAGTAACAGAAACACACGACTAGCTATTAATTGAAAAACATAAAAAACAACTTTGACTCTTTCTAACATTAACATCGTAGCGGATTCTGGGGAAATGTATATGACTGGGGAATCTCTTACCAGATTTTGCGGGACAATCTTCAATCTGGTTTGTCAATGTGAACCTTGTGTTGGAATAAAAGGCTAAAATTAAATTTCATTGGAGTACATGCGGGAATAAAGGCTATGACGTGCTGGCTTGGGCTGCGAAGGTAGAAGTATCAGCTAATAAACAGAGGCCCCAAGCCTGCTGAGGAGAGTAGGGGCAAAAATATGTTCTCAGGAAATGCAAGACCACAGGAGCATCCATTTTATTAACAACTTCTGAAAAGCACTTATGTCTGTACTTAATCTTACCCAGCCTTCTTGTGGTGGGGAAGAACGGTTCTTTCGCATCATTTAGAGGGGCGTTCGTGATGATACAGACTTGACAAAATTTATTGGAAGGTATTAGAGTCGGAAGTCACAGATCAATTTCATGTCTTACAGGGATTTTATGCTTCAAATTTAATGCTCAAAAGTACTATTGAACATTAACATCTACTAAAGAACCAAGAAAAAACCAGCTTTGACCATCACAATCTATACTGATGCTCTTACTCTGACTCCAATTTTATTTTTGATAATGAAACATCACAACTAATTACATAACATGGCAAACTAGAAGCGATAATACAACAAGGGTATTGTCCATTTGACTATGTGAATCTTATTTTCATGGATGCTGCAGCGTGAATTTAGAGAGAGGAACGAAGTCTCTCGCGGTTTGTTATGACATGGCCCCTGGTGATATCCTTTATGGTGGGACATCCAGATAGTGCCATCGTAAGCTCGAGCTCATGCTTCAGCATCTCAGTGACCCTTCTAACTCCAGTTTCCCCTTTTGCCGCCAACTCATATACTACAGGCCTTCCTATCTGTTGTAAGAAGACCACTATTTAGGAGAATGTCAACATTTGTCCTAGGGCACTTGTTCATTTGTGATTCAGGTGTTTTGGTAATGTGAAAAGATAGTTTCTATTAACTTGGCACGATATTATCACCCAAATACCTCAAGGGTTTGTTACGATACCCCTTACTAATATAGCAGACAGTCCACATCGAGAAATATCGGGAATGTGCCAAACTAATTATAAAAGATTGTAACAAGATCGCTTGTGCCCCCAAGGGCCAATATGCCTTGAAAACATCTGTTCCTCGCCGCACTCCTCCATCAACAAAAACAGGGACTTTCCCTTTGACTGCATGAACAACCTACAAACGAAGGTTTAAAAAAAGTCATGACCAAAATGCTGTTTGATATAGATGACTTGCTGCAGCACAAGCTTTCATGCATTTGTAAAAATAGAGGGAAACTGAATGCCACTCTGCTTTATTTTCAGGGGGCAAAACCGGGTGCATTTACTCTTATCCAAGCGTTTCCAAATGCTCCAAATTCTCGAATCTATTATTAAACTCGCCGGACAAAGGAGTTAGTAAAAATAGGCACCTCTTCCGAAGGCGATATCGTGGCTGGACTATAATCTAGCTGTCGAGCTCCATGATTCGAGACAATTATCCCAGCTACACCTGCCTCCACTGCCTTAATTGCTGCCAATGGGGGCATACAAGCTTGTTGATAAGGTTATCGAGTATGCAACAACCAATAGTAGTAACAACAGACACAGTATACTGAGAAGCAATATGAAATGTCAATAGATGAATAAGATGCTTCAATCCAATATCAGAGAACAAAAGGTCTTGATAGCAGCGATGACAAAATGAAGAAAGACAATATCCCATTACCATCAAAATTCCTAACTCATACGACTTCCCCAACAGAATGACTCTGGTGTTTGAACTACCAAACTAATTGAGCAATAATGTCGTTTCCTTTCAAGATGAACTGAAGAATCTTCAAAGTTTAATGCTAGAGGTCACACTCTACAAACTAGATATACAATCAAACCCCAATTTATCACAAAATTCTCCTGCGCGGATTTTTTTTCTGTTCTACATAAAGCCTCAAACTGCTTTTCACACTATCCTGACCTTCCATGTCAATTAAATCGTACCTAACTGTTCGCTATGGTGTCGATGTATTGTATAATACTGATGGAACTGTTTATAGGGTGATGAACTGGCAATGACGTGGTGCTCACTATAGACCTCATATAAAATAAAACAACAGCCCGCACACGAATCTGTACTATTGAAAACTCCTAACGAATTCCATCAAATCTAGCACAAATGAGAATGCAAAAATAGATTATGGCACAGTTGACAAGTTCTCAAGCCAGTCATTCTTGACTTTCCTTTTAAATACAATGATCCCTTTGGTCATGTATGCAAATGTGGTTAAACACCTCAAGGAGAGTGATTGTCATCACGTATCAAAGCATCAAGAATCTATGACTATTTCTCTATCTTCATCAGCAATCAAATTTCCCCAACAACAGACTGGCCTGAACTATAAAGAATTCTTGAATTGATTAGTCGGGCTATCTCTTTTTCCTGTTTACTCTGAGTCATTGTTTAGCATTATCCGCATTCTCCAAATACAGTAATCAATTACGTGCGGGACTGCATCAGACTAATATCTCTTAGTCATTTTTTATTTGCTTTACAAAATGTACATAGGATTTCACAAGATGAATACAAGATTTGCTCGTCATCTAATGCAGCCGGAAAGTCTAGAACGATTGATCGAGATTTCACTCCTAGTTTAATTGACCTTGCTATTCTTGGGAGATTTTTTTTTCACCTAAATTGCATAGTTTGGATTTTGTATCAACTATTGTCACAACTAATGCAAAACGAAGAACAAATATTCAATTCAAGTAAGAAATAAATTGTAGAGCTTAAAACTGAGCACAGAAAACTCATATGGTTCGGTAGTTTGTCTTCTTAAGGAGAAGTCAATGAGAAGGTTCCACTGTAATCGGCAAACAGAAGATTTACAATGGCTAATTCGTACTAGCCAAGTTTTTTCCACTCCTAAATAGCACCCGAATCCACAAGAATCAATTGCAAGAAAGGATCTTTCTCACTCTCCTCTCAAAAGCTCTCTAGCTTTCTTACAATATAGGTATTAAAATAAAAACAAAAAATAGAGTTCAAAACGCGTTTGGATCAGGTCCGTGTCGGGGGCTGGGTGTCCGACCAAGATAGGCCCGGACATCCGGGCACTATGTCAGAAAACAATATCAGCTATGAGTTTCCTTGCTAACCATGGCATTGTTGATTCATCGAATTTTACATATCTACTGACAATGAATCCAGGTGATTTAGGATCTGAACACCATAGCTAATAACCTTTCATCCCTCAGGTATAGCCTAGGAATATGCAATTTTTTTCCCTCAACTCCATCATCCCTAACATGCGCATATGCAAGGCATTTAAACACTTACAGGCTCAAGTAATCAATAAATTGACAAATCCACACTTGCTCTGGAATCCGGATCTCTATGGCAGATGCTGGAGATCTTTTTAATCAGGTTACACGCTAGGGTCATAGCCTCTGTAACATCCTCAATTTCAGTCCCCGGGAAATGGCTATGGGTTAAGTTTGGAAATTTTCCCCAATCAGAACTAATGTTACTCTTGTTCTGAAAAACCCAGATTCGAATCGTCTGTACCCCTTTATTTTTTTATTTTGTGGAGACTTTTGTGATCCGAATTTCCAAACACTTTCTTCTTAAAATTTTCTCGAAACATCTTGAAATTTTACATACTTTAATTTCATAATTTTTGGACTTAATATGAGTAGTACGATAGCCTAATTTCTAACCGTGTAAAACTGCCCAGAATGGGTATTTCTATGATGTTTACATTTTCTCGATTTTATACAAACTTTTCTAGGCTGAGTTTGAACAAACTTCCTTCACAAAAGTTGTTAATAAATTCTTCCTCTATAACATAAATAAATTTGGGAATTTTTAGAGATGATTTGGATTCTGGAAAGAGCTTACTTTGAGAAGCGAGAATTCTGTCCCAACGAATTGTTTTTAGTCTGTCTTTGAGCTATTAAAATTTCTGTTTACAAAAAGATTCAGATTTCTTGTTCTTCATGGAAAATGTTTTCTAATGTATTTTTTATGACATATCCAAATTTGGGAATTTTTGGAATTCATTTACTATGTTTTTAAGCCCGATTTCTAGAACAGTGCAAAAACTGCCGGTTTTGCCAGATTTCAAAGATTCATCATTTTCTATATGAGAACGTTGGAATCTCGATATGATGTCTTCTGGTGATTTAATGTACTCATTCTGAGCTTTCAAATGAGCTATGCTAAGCTTTGATTGGAGGTCACACGAAGGGGGAAACCGAGAGGGAACCGAGAGACAAGAAAGACGGTTCTAGAAAGCAAGAACTTAGTGAGCAAGTTGGTCAAAACTTGGTGAGCAAGTTGATGAAAGCTTGGTAAGCAAGTCGATCAAATCTTGGTGAACAAGTTGAAGAGGGGCCTATAAATAGAAGCACCCTTCTCTTTTCCTCACAACACACACACCACCTCCTCTTCCTCTCTCATCTCTCATTCTCACGCCTCTCTCTCATCTCTCACCCTCACACCAAACACTTCTCTCTCTCTCTCTCTCGCTATTTGCTGCCGCCGACCGCCGTAGACGTTTTCTTGTGATTATAAGTGATTATAGGTGAGTGAATTTCCTAATACTTGGATAGGGCGGTGTGTTACGTGGTTGGAACGCGTCATGTAAGTGGATTCCCTAATCTCGGGATAGGAAGTTATGATGCGTTGTTGGCTTGAGTTCTCACCCGAACCTTTGTTGAGACTTGCGTGTTGTTGTTTATATTGCACACATCACTTGTTACCATGCTTGATGTTCTCATCCATACTTGTTGAGTTATAAGAGGATATGACGTGGTGTTACGAGTTTGGCTCGAGTAGTGACAATGTCTGTGATGCTTGATGTTTGCATGAATGCTTGTTGTTTTGCTTTATAATCATAAGTTAAAGCACGTACGAGTCACGAAACGGGGTGTCGTATGGTCTCGTACTCTTGTTGTGGCGTCACGGGACGAGTTCGGCTTGGTACGGGTTTACATTGGGATATGTAGAGTCGGGCCAAGTTCGACTCCGAGCCGGCGCTCGGCATGGCGGACCGAACCATGTGCCCTTGACTGCGACCCACATGTTAGACGAATGTTCTAAAGATCATGATTACACAAGCACGGCACGCCTTTAGGCTTGATTGCATGGACTAATGAAATCAAGATAATAAACCGGCTTGTGTGACCCATGATGTGTGATCACTAAATAAAAGAAGAAGACCGTCGTCACATAGCATTGGAGGCGATGCCTCGGTAAACTAGTTCCGGGATGCCCTAGTTGAGCTAGAATGCTTGGGTTGAGCCCGGATGCCTCGGTAAACTAGTACCGGGATGCCCTAGTTGCGCTAGGATGCCTTGGTTGAGCCCGGATGCCTCGGGTGAGCTAGCCTTGAGATGCCTCGGTTGAGCCGGGATGCCTCGGTTGAGCCGGGATGCCCTGGTTGAGCCAGGATGGATGTCTGGGTTGAGCCCGGATGCCTCGGTAAACTAGTGCCGGGATGCCCTAGTTGAGCTAGGATGCCTTGGTTGAGCCCGGATGCCTCGGGTGAGCTAGCCCCGGGATGCCTCGGTTGAGCCGGGATGCCTAGCATGAAGCTGGATGCCCTGGTTGAGCCAGGATGATGATAAATGAATCTTATATGTATGTCGGTATGTGTGTTTATTGATAAGCCGAAGGATTCTGGAGGATGCTTCACATATAAATTTTCTTGTACATTTTTATGTGACCGGATAAAGATGAGCTTCCATGTAAACATAGCAAGGGCAAGGACAAAGCCTTTGCTATTGATTTGCCATCGACATAAGGTGGGGTAAATATTTGTATGCGTTAGTACAACGGTGAGGCATCATCCTGCACGAGTATTAGTTAATTTACTCATTGAGTCTCCCCGACTCATCCCCCATTGTTTTTCCTTTTCAGGTCCATAAGATGGAGGATGACATAAACGAGTTAGGATTAACCTTGGCCTTCGCTTGTGATATGGTTTATACGTGGAACGGCCCGTAGAAAAGGGCTTGTAAAATATGTTTAAGTAAAATGGCAATAGTGTGTTTTGCTTGTTATGCTTTCCCTGGTTTCCGAGAGTAAGATAAGGATGTTACATATTAATACAAGGTTTGCTCATGATGCTTGTCATAACCCCGTTGTTTGTTCTGATTGTGATTATCTCGAATTAATTGCTTCCGCTTGTGTTTAGTGAAAGATAATAGCGAACGAGACGTCACACTAATAACCCCGAGGTGGGGGCGTTACGGCTCATCCCAGAAATCTCATGGCAAACCAACATTTGAGAGCAAAATCGAGTTCTCTCAAGAAAAGTCCTGCTCATGTGTTCAGCTACCCCATTTTGTTACGGTGTTCCTAGCACCTTGCAATACTTGCCAATTCTATTTTCTCTGCAAAAGTCATCAAACACATTAGAACAAAACTCTAACTTATTTTCAGTTCTAAGCCTTTTGACTTTCTTGCTTGTTTGATTATTTTATCAAGAGTTTAAATTGCTTAAAAAAGATAAAAGACTCATTCTTATGTTTCAGATAATAAACCCAGAAT